TAAAGTGATTGTTTATTACTTAGTATAATCCTACCTTAAAAATATTAAAATTGAATGTTGGCCTCCTTTAATGCTTTGGCAGTTATGAAACTGGAGCTGTTGCTTTCTACCAAAAAATAGGATTATTCTTGCAATAAGAGCAAAAAATGTTCTCAATGAATGAGATGTCTTTTAATTAAACTGTACACAACCTGGAATATCCAGTGTTCATCAAGGTCTTCAGCTTTAGTCTTACTTAACTATTCCAGTAAAATGTATGTAAATAACATTTGTAAAAGTGAAACCATATCAGCCAACTACAGCTTAATATATCAAATGCCTATTCTAGTCAATGAAAATGTAGATTATTTATACAAGGAAAAGTACATATTTGCATTACATACATTAAATCAGATTACCATATATACATGCATATAAATCAGAGTACCATATATATATATATATATATATATATATATATATATATATATATATATATATATATATAGATGCAATAAACTGATGACGAACAGTACGAAACTAGTAACTAACTAGCCTAAGCGCTTTCGACTCTTAATGAGTCTTTTTCAAAGGCAAATACAAAACAAGCATGTTTTGTATTTGCCTTTGAAAAAGACTCATTAAGAGTCGAAAGCGCTAGTTAGTTACTAGTTTCGTACTGTTCTGTTCGTGGTCAGTTTATTGCATCTATTTTAATTAATCCCTGACAAACGTGATCCCTTGGTGGGTCGCTTGAGAGGGTTGTTATTCGCCATATGATTTGTATTCTTTATATATATATATATATATATATATATATATATATATATATATATATATATATATATATATATATATATATATATATATATATATATATATATATAAAAATGAGAAAACCATATATACATACATATAAATCTAAGTACCATATACATACTACCATATACATACAGGCATATAAATTGGAGTACCATATATACATGCATATAAATTAGAGTACTATATATATGAACAAGCATACCATATATACATGCTTATAAATCAGACTACCATATATACATGCATATAAATCAGGGTACCATATATACATGCATATAAATTTGAGTACCATATATATGAACAAGCATACCATATATACATGCTTATAAATCAGACTACCATATATACATGCATATAAATCAGGGTACCATATATACATGCATATAAATCAGGGTACAATATAAACACACATATAAATCAAAGTACCATACATACATGCATATAAACCAGCATACCATATATATATATAAATGCATATAAATTTTAGTGCCATATATACATGCATATAATTCAGAGTACTCTATATATATATATATATATATATATATATATATATATATATATATATATATATATATATATATATATATATATATATATATATATATACACATATAATCAGGGTATCATAGATACACACATATAAATTAAAGTACCATACATACATGCATATAAACCAGCAAACCATATATATAAATGCATATAAATGGAGTACCATATATACATGCATATAATTCAGAGTACCATATATATGCATATAATTCAGAGTACCATATATACATTAATATAAATCAGATCCTATTGCAAACAGCATGAAGACAGATCTTTGTCAATGGAGTTGGTTAGGAAGAATAGAACAAGTAAAACATACTCTGATCTGCTGGTGTTTTATGCAATGACAGATCAGGGATTATCCTTTGTCTAGTTGAATATCTCCTTTGCTGAAGTATATGGTACGTAAACAAAACCACTACATATTTATTTCCCAATGCACTGAACAAAGAAACTGCAAGATAATTTCCTTTTTAAAGCTTCAAGATTTTCTCCCATTTGTAAAATCCAACTGAATATTTGTCTAAACTTAGAAACTACAGCAAATAATGTCAACACATTGAGAAAATTCCAATTAATAGGTCATTAATTAAAATGCGAAATTACAGTTTTCAAAATGTTTTATCAGTTTGTTTTCTCCATTTTGCTTGATTAAATAGTTTGTAATCTGCCAGATCAACCCTATGTAAATTGTAAATTAATTGCAACTAGCAAAACAAACATTAATCATGTAATCATTAAGTAAGCAATGGACTTCATGATGGGAGCAGTGTAGTTAATATTCAGTTGGATTCATGTTCAACTGTAGTAAGTTTCACTGGATAAGAGCCAAAACTCTTGATAATATATTAGATTGTTAATTTGATGATGATGATGATGATGATGATGATGATGATGATGATGATGATGATGATGATGATACTACTACTACTACTACTACTACTACTACTACTACTAATAATAATAATAATAATAATAATAATAATAATAATAATAATAATAATAATAATAATTTTCTTGTCTTGGCTGCATTGATGTCACTTATACAGGTCACTGCAATCTCATCTCTGTCGAGTTTCAGGCTGGGCCAATATGGGTATGTGAGAAAGCTTGCAAGTAGCTTCCCATCTGTCAGTGGTTCTTTCTGTGGTTTTCTTGGGTTCTTCCTCCACCAGTTATAATAGCCGCAATCTATAGCCTATCTTGTGATGAAAAATGGTGTTAAACCCAATAATAATAATAATAATAATAATAATAATAATAATAATAATAATAATAATAATAATAATAATAATATATTTAATAATAATAATAATAATAATAATAATAATAATAATAATAATAATAATTATTAATAATAAAAATTACGAGGACTTTATATAGCGCCTAATCCTTAGAAGCTCTAAGCGCTTTACAACATTTGACAATACTTAAAAAGGAATATGAAACATATACAATATGATTACAAAAATAAAAAACAAACACCACAAAATTAGAAAAAGAAAAACATGCTGTACATTTTTAAGGTAAGGATACATTATAAGGATACAATATTAGGTCCTAATGATTGTTCTTGCAGTTGAAATAGATGAGTTTTAAGAGCGCTCATGAATGAGAATTCACTGTGTTTTTGTATCAAAATGTAGTGGGCAATTCGTTGAAATAGATGAGTTTTAAGAGCGCTCTTGAATGAGAATTCACTGTGTTTTTGTATCAAAATGTAATGGGTAATTCGTTCCATTTTGCTGGGCCCTGGTATGCAAAAGAACATTGTCCATATGATTTTAACTTCATAGTGGTAATAATGAGAATATGAGTGTCAGAAGAGGAGCTTTAGCATCTTGCATATATATATATATATATATATATATATGCAATAAAACTGACAACGAACAGTATGAAACTAGTAACTAACTAGCCTAAGCGCTTTCGACTCTTAATGAGTCTTTTTCAAAGGCAAATACAAAACGTTTTGTGTTAATTTGTTTATCGTATATATGTATAAAGAGAATAGGTCCAAGAACAGACACCTGTGGAACACCACAGCATAGATCAACTGTGCAGGAGTGTTTTCCATTTTTGGACACAATTTGTGTCCTGTTGACCAAGTTAGACTTGAGCCAAAGTAAGGCTCACAATTTGTGTCCTGTTGACCAAGTTAGACTTGAGCCCAAGTAAGGCTGTATCTGAATGCCAAATACATGCTGGAGATGATGAAGTAATATATCATGGTCTATCATGCCAAATGCTGCAGACTAGTCAAGGAGAGTATGGACTGTAGTCTTTCCGACATCCAAAGCAGAGACAAGGTCACTGACTACTTTCAGAAGAGCAGTTTCAGTACTGTGGCGAGGTCGATATGCAGACTGTACATTGCTAAAAAGGCTGTTTGAATTCAGATACAAGTTGGGATAGAACAACTTTTTCTGAGATTTTTTACATGAATGGGAGATTAGAAATGGCGGTAGTTCTTTAGATTATTATGGTTGAGTGTTGGTTTCCTCAGCAGAGGCTTTACAATGGCAGTTTTGTAAAATGATGGGAATTCACCAGGTGAGAGAGACATATTAATAACATCAGTTACTAAAGGCAATACTGGATGCAAGCAAACTAGCAGCAGTGACGTCAGAATTGGACCATAACAACAAAGGGATTTCATTGTGGTCTTAGTAACACAATCAAACATCCCTTAAGATCTTGACCTTTCACCTTTTAAGCACTGTTTAATTTTTTATATTAAACATATGCACCAAATCTGAAACATGGAAATATATTTATGGAAACAGAATATATAATGATCTCACTTCATAAAATTTTCAACAATTTACCTTAAACCTGAAAACAGTTCATTGCAACTTTGAACGTTTTGATCTGTCGTGCCCTATGATGAATCTGGTTTAAGTCCTATGTCTACTGAGACACAGGCAGACTCCAAAGAAAAAGAAATATAAAAAACTAAATGGTTTCATAGAATATGGATACCACACAACAGTGCCTGAAATTGATCAATATGTGACACATATGGATGGATGGACAAACAATGGTAACACTATGCTCTACTACTCTTATGGTAGGGCATTAAAACTTTAAGAAACTAACCTCTATGACCCTACCCTTTGACCTACTAATTTCCAGAGATATTCTATACTTCATAGTAAACTTCTCTGCAAAATCTGGAAATAGTATATCAATGGCAATAACTTGGTACTGCCAGATCCCCAAACCATTTGGCACCTACATTAACCATGCGACCATAACCTTTTATTGTACTGATCTTTCATTTCTTAGTTACTGTTCCTTGACCCTTGATATGGTTGTGATAATCCAAAACAAACCAAAGATACAACAATACTGATTGAAAGTTAACAGTGATGGACTGACATTGTGGCTGCTGTCTCTCACTTTCCTTAGCATCTGTTGCAAGTTTTGCATGCTTAACACCATTTGTTAGCACATAACAGGCTATACCTAGCTGTCAATGGATGAAGAAACCATGAAGAATCACTGATGCATGGGAAGTTATTGTCAATCTTTGTCAAATACCCACTGATTGAGCCAAGTTTTAAACCCACACACACAGGGACAAGATATTAGTGATCTCCAAAGATGAACACCTTAGACCACTCAGCCACTTGTTACCTAAACAATGCTCTGGTAGCCTAGCTTTTAGAGTGTCTGCCTTGGATGCAGAATGTCTTGGGTTCATTCCCAGTTGAGTAATACCAAAGAATTATAAAAATAGTACTAAAAGCTGCCTGCTATGCACTCAGCATTAAGAGGTTAGTGTTAAGACTGGTCTGCCTGGAGTCAGGGTAATGTGGCTGGGTGGGACATCATGCTACATGTCTGTGGCATGATGCCTCATTGCTAAACATCACTATAAACTGCCACACTGCAGACATCTTAGCAATTTGATTGAAACACTGTTATAGCTTTGTTAAAAATCCAAATCATACACACCTCTTGTGACCCCTGTTGAATGTGAGATCAAAATGGTTTGGTTTGAGTTTGTGTGCCTAATGCCATTTTTCAGTACATGGAAGGCTATACATAGTGGTCAGTATATATGGTAGAGGAAGAACCACAGAAAAAAACCAATGGGAAGCTAATGGCAAGCTTTCTCACACTTCCCCCCATTGGCCAAGCTGAGACATTAACAAATGTGGACAATGATATGTCAATGATTTGTAAAGGCAAGCATATTAGACCACTTGGTCACACAGGGCACCTAACCAAAATGACCAATATTGTGTGTGTACATCTATACACCTCTGCCATGTATTGATATAATTCATGATACACAGCCCAAGACACATACATCATCAAATACACATATCCAATTTTATGGTCTTTTCATCTTTAGATAGTTTGTCAGTGATGGGTTGTGTCATTTTATGTAGCGACATACTGTTAATAATTAGAGTACATCCAATAGACTTCCTGTTATGTGTCAGTCATTTTTATTCTTCCTTTTAGGCCATTTCAGGCTGCTCCATTTCATTAGGTGCTTTATTAATTTTGGTCACCAAGCACTTTCTTTTGCACTAATGAATGTTTCTAAATATCTTATTACCAATTTCATATCTTCATGTAAATTTGAAGTCAATTCAGTGCTATCTTAAAGACAAGAAGAAACTGCAATTTCCACATGCAAAGGAAATCTTATGTAAAAGAAGTCTAAGTGTTCTTTTGCTGATTCTGTACTAATTTATTTTTTTTTAAATCCTGGCGGCATAATCAGTCATTGATTACTAATGACATATATTAACACAATAAGAGACATTACAAACATGTTCCCAACCTACAATTTAATTTACAGATCATTAATAACCAATTCTGCACATTGTTTTGTATTGATGCTTTGTATCTAAATTAACATTGTTTGGATGCCAATATTTCTGGTGTATGATGCAGTGAATATGCCAGTTAGCTCTGATTGGTGGTTATTGTCTTTCTCTGGATTTAAACAAACAATAACCACTAATCAGAATTAGATGTGACATATTTCTTTGCACAACAAGCTGGTAATATTTGCCCTCAAATCAGATACAAGTAGACAAGATACGAAGCAACAGAAACTTTGCCTTATGTGGTCATTAGCAAAGTACATGTACTTAGATCAAACATGTGTAGCAAATAAATATTAACAGTGGCTGATCATGTTACCAAGATGAAAAAATCAGCATTAAATTGGCAGGATTGAGACATGTGGGCATATTTTTTTTAGAAACTAAGTTATTCAACTTTTGGCTTTTTATGGAATGATTTTTCAGTCTATTCAACAAAGTTTACAAAGCCAGCCCTCCAGAAAAAAAACATGTATTCAGTCATTTCAAAAACATTTGGAAAGGGTCTCCTCAGTTTAATGTAGGAAAAATGCTGTACCTAACATGACATAAGACAACAACATAATAATACTATCCTTACTGAGCTGACAGTGAATAGGAAGAGATATCCTATGGACAGGGAGACTGGTTAATGGGAAGAGATATCATATGGACAAGCAGACTGGTTAATGGATAGGCAGACTAGTTAGTAAGTTCTTTTTTAGTAGATCAAAACAAATCATTTATATTTCAAGCACCACAGTAATAACCCACGTTGACAGAATGTCAATATGATCACACTAAAGACTGTCAACTTCTACACCAAGATCAAACAACACTGAATATAATCTGTCATCGAGTGTCCAAACAAATCAATATCAGATCCAAGCAGGAGGTAGTATGAAGACAATATAAATGATGACAAATAATACAATTCAATGCTTTTCAAGACATTTTCACAAACCAAAATATGCTTTTAATATGAAATCTACTTTTAGCTAGTGGCTTGGAGATACACGATATTGTCTTGAATATTTTATACTCTATCATTTTGTAAACCATCAATCAATAAGTTCAGAAAAAGCTGGTCTCCTACCTGCATCCATATGCTTGTCAGAATAAATGCTATTCTGACATTCAAAATCTTTCACACAAAAATGGTACATTGTTAATAACAGTGACATCATCACCATCTGCAGAACTTCAGCAAGTCCAATAATATTTGATCAAAACCCAGGAGGCATCTACAATTTAGAGCAATATGAATTAGCTTCATCAACTACTCCTGTGCTCTACTGCATTTCAATCTTTCAAAAGCAAAATCATGTCCATTTTTAGTGAGATCACTTGTTTGACATTTGACCCTGACCTTTAATAACCGCTGCTATAACATGTTGTCGAGGTGAAATGCAATAATTTCCGAAGATTGGCTTTAAAACTTATCATAAGCCTCTGTAAGCAAAAGGGATGAGTGGTGGGGTGCAGGAAGTTCTGTGCAGTTACATTGTTTTAAACTTATAATGGTCCAGTTTTATCTGTGGTTTGTAAATTTTGATTGGAAATCACAGGAATGGGTGGGCGAGTTATTGTTGTTATTTGGATTTAATGGGTTGATACAGATAAAATTTAACATAAAATGACATGGAAACAAGGAAACAAAATTTGTCTTTAGAATTTTTCAGTGTCTAAAAATTTCCAGTTCATTATAACGTGACTGTTTACATCCAATAAAATTCATAAAAATTGGAATTATTGGCTATAAATTGGCTATAAAAATGACATCTTAATTCTATAGTTTTGCTCAATTCAATAGTTTTACTCAATTCAATAGTTTTGCTAAAACATTTCATGATAGTAGATGGCACTGACTGTGGCTTTTGACAGCCATAAAAATTGACCTATCACCATTACAACACCAGGCAAATAATAACATAGGTCAATATACCATTCTTAATGGTTTAAATGTACATCCATGATTAATCATCACTGTGGGCAAAACACACGTCTGAATAAAACATTTACAAAATGTACATAGTGACACAAACTGCACTTTTAACCAAAAATGTACCCAAAACCAGTAGTCACTTTATGGTGTTTTTTAAATAGTTTTGGGTACATGTTGGTATGCTTTCATTTTAATTTGTATCAGAAGTGCACAGCAAAGTTGATTTTATGATACTTGCTGTGTTTGGTGCCTGAGGGTGGGAGGGACTGGGATTTTCCCGTTAAATGACATTTTTTTTTCTTCTCTGAATACATGTAATTGGTCAACTGACAACATGGATATATGATTTTATTTATACAAATGCATTTTTTGTTTTAAAAACAGACTAGCAGTTATATATTTGACCACAAAATAGCAGGATTATTTGTTGAAAGCTGTTTGAAAGCCATATATATATATATATATATATATATATATATATATATATATATATATATATATATATATATATATATATATATATATATATATATATACATACATACATATACACACACACACACACACACACAAGCACCCTGACCCAAACACACAAATTGGTCCCATATTTATCTGAACTTCTTCATTGATTATATTTAATATTATTTTTTATGGAGTTGGTAGATTGATGAATTTTAACACCCAATATGTATATGCAGATATTAGATAAAGTAAAAAAAAAGGTAAGAATCATATCTAAACAACTAAAATAAATTGTCATTTTATGAATGGGATATTTTGTTTATCTGTTTATTAAAATAATTTTCTCTTTAATTTTAACAAAACCATTATCTGCCATAATTTGGTCTCCAGGCTCTAAGAAATCTAAAAGCTGGTGCCTAGCTTAGTCTCATTTTGTATTTGTTGACCCAGGGTCACATGAATACATGAATACATTCTAAGAATGGTCTATACCTTTGGGTAACTGACCAATGCTATCACTAGCAAGGTATGAAGCATTATGTAATCATAAAAGCTTCAGGGTTGACAGAGCAATAATCCAACCACAGAAGAATGCCACCACATATCTTGTATAACTTAAAATGTTTGCAATTGTCTTCACTAATTATAATGGTACTAACATAACTGTCACAAGAAAAACTTTGATTTTATAAGATGAAGTACAGTAGTAAATAAGACATAATTATTTTTATTCTGGCAATAAATAACTAGTTGCAAGTTGGACCATAGCCAAGGATGTTGCCATGCCAACTAATGTGGATTTACGAGAAATGGTCTTATGCTTCAGGCAATGATAGACAGCACATCAATCTTATTAAAATTGAGATCTAATAATAAATCAGATCTGATGGGCAGAGCTAAAAGTTCATCTTCTGGTGACTTTTTGAATCAGAGAAATTTGTTTTTAAGTAGCTTACAAGAGAAAGCATTATGTTTCCTCTTAGGGAGAATTATTATTAATAACAACATGTTACCAGCGAAGGTTTCACTTTGAGAAATACAAAAAAATTGCAATTTGTTTGATGATGACCTTGTATCAGTGCACATAGATCTCTGTAATGCAGTGCACATAGATCTCTGTAATGTCAGAGATCTGCATCAGAATCAGACTGATGACTGATAGCAAACATGTATTAACACATTTAATTTCTAAATCAGTGTTTCCATTATTATTAGCAAGGGCAAGCACACTGGTTTTGAAATAAATATGTGCTATGCTGTTAAAGGAGATAACATGAACTAAAAGCAATTATACAAAAATTAAAAAATCGTACAATAACAGCTTGCTATGAGTTTTGATGCATCTATCATTACTTCTTCCCCAAAATTTCAATATTTACCAGTAATATTTTGAAAATAGCTAAACAAATAGATCAACATGAGCCTGAAATGGTTCACCTGCTATATCTAGATTACAACCAACTGCAAATGCAGTTGCCCAAAAAAAG